CGAGAATGTATTTTGCGAATTTACTACGATTTAATAATCTTTTTTGGTCCAGTCTCTTTCATAATACCATTAATAATTTCGTATTTGTTAAATTTCTTAAAAATATGGAAAAAGTCTTATAGAAAGTGTAAAGAAATTTCCAAAAAGAGATAAACAGATCAAACGATCGATTTGCTATTTTCTCGAGAAATCAGTGGTGATTAAGAGCTACGACTTACGTCTCTCGAGTCGCGACATGTAATTCCTGTTCTCGAATGAGAACCGCTGTCGGCATCCCGGAGCCAGTGACGCGAGTAAACCAATAACGCGTCCGCCACGCCGGGTGCCAGATTCAAATCCGGCAGGGACCGAAACGGTATTCCACGACGAAACGGATAGCGGGGCTCCGCAGGACATTTCGAATCCGTCTCCGCGTCCTGCGGGCTTTACTGGTTTGTCGAGCCATTGGCTCGATTCGGCAATTCCGCGCGCGTTCGACTTTCCCGCGAAAGAGGACGAACGCGATCGGTCGTTTACACAATTTCGTACATGCAAAACTGTTGCTCCTGATGCATAATCTATTTAATCTAGCCATTGCAACACTCGCGGCGCGGCGGAGGAAAAAGCGAACGACATTTTCTGTAGATTGTTGAAGATTCGATAACGACCGAAAGTATCGTCGAGTAAAATCCTAAAAATTTATCGTTAACTTAAAAAAAAATGGATTTAAATAACTACTATGAAAAATAAAATATTATAGATATTGTTAAAATCGTAGATATATCGCGAACACATAGACAAAAAATTATTCATGTAACAACAAGGCCTAGGCCGTACCTAATGTTTATCACAATAAAAAATTTTGTCGTGGCGGATAACAGATTAATAAAGCACCTTCAATATATGCATAAGCAAAGAAATAAAATTTTAGAAGATTCCTAAAATCTTATTAACGTAATAGATCCGTGTAATAGATATCTCGCGCGACACATTGCCAACTCATGTCTCGGTAATGTTGCGCTGTAACGATCGGCAAAGAGCTGAGTGCAAGTAGAAAGTTTAAGCCACGCGAAGCGTATACGTTTCCCGATTTTGCCTAACTGAATCGGACAAGGTATATATACCGAGTAAAGTTGTTAGGGCAAGGTGAAGAAGTCCGCAACAGGGCAAGCCTCGTTTCGGCGTCTTCGCGAAGGAAGCGGAAGGAAGAGGAAGAGACTTGCCAGAGGAAGGAGACCGAGAAATACGCTCGTTCCATAGGGTGTACGAAGCGTATCCAATTTGATGGCATTACAATAACGGGGGTAATGTCTGAGAATAATGAAATTTCCCCCAATCACCACGACTCGTCTAGAATAAGTTCCTTCGTTCCGTTCGTATCTTCTCTCATTCTCATTCTCTCTCTCTCTCTCTCTCTCTCTCTTTCTCCTTTTCCTTTTTTCCCCTCCCCTCTTCATCGAACTGAGGTCTTCCATCGTCTACCACACGCACACGGATGGACATGTATAGGAGGACCAGAGAAAATGAGTAGAAACGTTTTCGAATCAATCCCGTTCGCGAGTTATTTCGCTCCCCATCGGAGAAAAGTCAAGGGATTCTCGAGTACTTCCGTTCAAGAAATGGATTCTGGTCAAAAGTTTTTGAATGTGACGACAGTTACGAAAATTCTATGCACTCCTGCGATATTACGATATTACGTGAAACGCGATAAAAACTCGGAACTATCGTGGTGAATTTTTTTCAAAATTCTTCTAACTTCAAGAAATGCATTTCAGAAAAATTGTACGTAATTAAATAGTATAAGTAGTGTAAAAGAAAATTTGTATTATACATGTAGTATATTGTAAGTGTTGTAAAAATAAACGTACATTTACTTTTCAGAAAATATAAAGATATTGATTTTATTTAAATTATCACACGAATGCAAAGAGTTAATTTTTTTATTATATCTTTTAGGTAATATAAGTCATTGAATCTTATCCATTCTTACGCATGTTAATGCTATTGCAATGAAACGTTAACCCACTTTTAAATAAAAAAGTACGAAGTATCGAGAAACTTTGAACGCAGGATCGGAATTCTTTTTGACCGCTCGTCGTTTCGTTCGTTCGACGCCTCGTTCCGCCTCAACGTGGGCGCAATAATTCTCGAGCGAACTGTACGTAATGGAATATTACACGGGCCATTAAAGAAACGTTAATCTTGCCCACAACAAGTTCAGAAGCGCTCGCAGGATGTTCAAACGCGGCCGGGATTACGCGCCGGCTTTGATCCTCCAACGCCCCGAAGGCGCGCACCGGAGTCCGCAGCCTCCTGTAATTTGTTAAAACGCGAAATTCTGTGACGTCGCTGTTTGTGTCGGCGTTTCGTACCGCTTAAAAGTCACGCGGCTTCTTTAACGACTTGCCATAAAACATACTTGCTATTTAATATTAAATCGATCATTTTTTCTATCACTTTTCATTAAATTTTCTTTTTACATAAATAATCGAAAAAATTGCAATTCCGGAATAGACGGATTAGATATAAATATCTCAAAAATATATCGATGCGATAGACGTGTCGATATGCAGAAACATTCCAGAATTACAAAATTAAATATTACATTTATATAATAACAATAATAAAAAATAAGAATAAAGAAAATAACAATCTAAAACTACATAAGAAGCAGAAAGCAAAATTGAGAAAGAAATTTTTTCTTTTTTAGAAAGTTTTATAAATTAAATAGCTTGCTAATTTCTTCTAATTTTTTCCTTCTATTCATTAATTCATTGTCTTCTTTGCTATATTCTTTAAAGCGGCCACAAAAACAATCAATTTATATTCAACAATACTTTTGTATTATATTATGGTCAAAGTCAAATATTAGATTATGGAAGATTTTCTTTCATAATGATAAAGTTATATCGCGACTTTTGCACATTGCTTCAAACGGAACAGTCTAACTTTCTCGATGTGGGTACTAACATTTTCGGGAAGAAGGAACGTACTACAGAGAAAAAGCAGCAGATAAACTCTCGACGGCTTTCTTTCACGGATAAGAGCGAGCTTTTGACATTTTTTCTCACGTCGATATGAATGCTCTCTCGGTTCTACCGTCATCCTTTCTCTTCTCCTTACTCCCCCAACCAGAGACTTTCTTCCGTAGCCTCTCCACGAGGGTGACTCGTGTACACCTCGGCGCTATTACGAAGGCGCGAGGGAGCAAGCTTCGGGAAGGGAAGACGAGACGAGGACGAAGGAGACGCGGCAGGAGACGAGAAGAGGTGGCGCAGGGCGACGTGGGAGAGGGCGGGAGGGAGGTAGAATTTAGCGACCCTCTTTCGCTTTTTACCCTAAGCGAGTCGAGAGCCCCTTAGCCACCGTTTATTGGACGCATGCAAATATCCATGGCAACGGCGGTACCGCGCCGTATACGGGAAGAACCAACCCCGCCGTCGAGAACGCCGAACGTGCCGGTATACACGAGGATGGGGAGGTCCTTTCCTCCAGGTCGGAGAAGGAAAAATAAAAAAAAAGAGATGTTAGAGAATTTCCTTTTGATCCGCGCATCGCCCTTCTTCGAGCAATCTCTTAATTGATTCTGCAAGAATCGGTATTCCTTCTCGGTCTGGATGCTTCTTCGGCTGTTATCATATGTGATCCAAGTCGCCTATGGAATTCCTAGTTAAGGATCTAAGAGTTATCTTCGAATTTACTTTCTTAACAAAATTGTTATTAATATAAGTTATAGTATTAATATTCAGATTACTTCTACAGATAACTTCTCAGCTATAAACAATTAAAAATCAAAGGGTTGAATCTCAGAGTGAATAAAAAAACTTTATTTGTCATCCACTTTCCCGCGAATTTACTTCGCTTCTCTTCAGATTCCTTTATTGTCCTAACAAAAATTAACAACTCTATGCTCGCGAAGTGTGTATGAAAAAAATTTATTCAAACTATTATGATGTAGGTATCCGAAGATGGTTAAGATACGAGTATTATCGATTATCTGCTGTCCATGTTAGTACGTTATAACTGATCAGAGGCATGATACTTTAATGATGGGCTCTCTATCAGCCCACGTGGAGCACGATCGCGAGACCGGAAGAGCGACTCGCGTTGGGGGAGCAACGGCTCGTCGGGGCGGAACCGGTTAACGCCAAATCGTCCGTCATTCGTTTGCGCGATTAACCGCCTCGTGTTAACAACATCAGCCGCGCCGCGACAAGGGGAGGAGTTTATACGTCGTCCTGGCCGCGCGCGCCCGTCCGAGTCCATCGGCTCGCATAAACATCCTCGGTACAACCAACCGCCACCCCACGGAAAACTGATTTCCATCCCCCCATCTCACGACTCCTGCTATCTATGTAAATGTAGTCCTGTTTTGTGTGAGTAGACAAAGCCCCCGTTGACAATACGCCTGCGCGTTTACAACCTCCACCCGCCGAGCTGAAAGTCAGGCTCCATTACGGCTGTTTTGCGACGCGCTTTGTATTGTTGTCGCCGCCACCACCGCCACCGCCGCCGACGCCGACACCGAGCGATACTGATTCTCCACGAAAATTTCTGACATTTTCGTCAGGTTGTAATCAATTAACAAGCACAAGCTTCAACCATAGATTAATTAACCTTTAATACTTGATCTTCATTTACTGTCTCCGGTATTTGTGACTGACATAAAAAATAATGCGCGCTTTTATTAAATTTATGTACACGGTTTATTACCTTTTTCATAGTAAATTTAGCAAATCAGTAAAATTTCGACAGTAAAATAGTCTTGAAGAAAGAAACCGATCTTATCTTTTATTATAAAAAATTAATTTTTAAAATTTGTTTACCAAGATAATAGCTATATGTTTTTTCACTTTCAATTATTCTTGCGTAATGATTATCATGAACCAATTAATTTATCTGTCTATTAATTGTAATAATGATAGCAGAGTGATCACCTATTGGTCATTATACAGATCATTTCCATTAGTCGACGAGTAACGGTAAGAGAAATCATTGAATGGAATGTAGGCTGCACTTACGCTCGGAATGTTGTCGTTCGTGCACACGCCCTCCTGCAACAAGCGATCTCGGATCTCCCACGCGAAGATGGACGGGCACTCACTTTTGTAGAGCGAGATCTTGCTGACAACCTCCGCCGTTGCTACGCGCGGTTTGCTGCCGCCGATGGCCCTGGGCCTTATAGATCCGGTCTCATAGTACCTACAACAATAATAATTTGCGGTACAATGCGGTAGGAAGTAGAAATACATATTGAGAATGAAACACTATCCTATCCCTCTAAGCATGTTATTCGACTAATAAAAGAGTTGAGATTTATCATTATATCTTGATTGCCTCTTATGCAACAGTTGTTGAATATAGTCAAATATATAATTCTTACGACTCATAAAATTTATAAAAGCTATCTACATATCTACCCGATTTACGCAAGATAAGTAGACGGACATGCGATTTCGCGTTTCGTGCAAAGTTATGTGTGATTAAGATTAGTTTCTTGATTGAGACGGTATGTTCAATCCGTTTAAGTTAGGGGGTACAGTGATTAATGACGACGAAAACGCGTCACCGGACGGAGCAAGCAATACTGCAACCAACCTGCCGAGGATCTTGGAGACACAGCCGTTGCTGACCTGCAATATCCTCGAGATGTCACATGGCCGCGCGCCCGAATGCGCCAGCTCGACGATCTTTTGCCGCGTCGAGTCCGGAAGCGGCCGACCGCCGACGAAGACACCACCCAGCTGGTTCACCCCGCTGTGCCCTGTAAACGACGAAAGTTGTATGGTTATTCTTCATTTAACGGTTTCGAGAACTAGGTAACAATAAATTACGGTGCAATAAGTTATGATAACAACAAATTGTCTTTCTTCCGAATGATCGTCTCTTCTTTTGATTTCTCTTTTTCCCAGTTCTCTCTCTCTCTCTCTCTCTCTCTCTCTCTCTCTCTCTCTTCAAGCGCACGACGTTCACGTAAGGGGTGTGGAAAATTCAAACGCTCCACCGCCTCCGGAGACTTTTTCGCATTTCGGCGAACAATACCGCTGTCGCCATAGATCATGTATTTTCCCTCCTCTCGTCCGCGGAGACTCACCCCGGAAACCCGTGAGGAGAGAAGAAGACCGCGGTCGGCTCTTTCTTTCTTTTCCGATTCGGCGAAGGGAAACGGGGGACGAGTGCAGGGGGTTGGCCGCGAGCGTCGTAACGTCAGCGAATCCCATCGTAGATAATCTTCGACTCATTGTGCCAGTGACAAGGCAGGCACACACGCCGGTGCGGGACACTTGAGAGAAACGCCAGGGTGGTGTGTTCCCTCGCGCAGATATTTTATATTCCCGCGATTGTCGCGCGCGAAAGCCGTATCCCAAGATGACACTCGGAATGGAGCGCCACGCCTTAATTTTTCTCGAGTAGAGAGTCTACCGTCCTCAAGGAAAAAGTAAGATTTGAAAATAAACTATAGGAAATAGATAAATGTTACTATGTACACACGCGGTAACACGGATGATAGACATAAAAACGCATATGTCTCACGAAATTCTGTACATATAGCTGTAAAAAAATTTAGTTTTTAAGTATGCAAAATGTTTATATCATTTAGAATTTAATGAAAAGAGTCCCTCCAACACCCACTCATTTAATTGTAATTGGATTACACGTTAATATAATGGGAGATTATATTAACTGTCGTCTTCAAAGAGAAGGTATAATTTGAAAATAAAATATAAGAAACAGATATATGCTAGTATAGTAATATGCATGGCAGATAAATATAAGAATGCATGTGAGAAATTTTTATGTGTGTATATAAGATGCGTATTATATTATTTAATGTGTTACATTATTTAGATTAATTTAGAATAAAATGAAAATAATCTCTTGAACATCTCACTTTATTGAATTTGAATTGCATATTAATATTAAAGCAGAATAACTAGTTATCGGTACAATTTAAAATTGTGATAATTTTTATAATTTCATAATTAGAATCACAATTTTAATTTCTATATGTTGTTATATATGTATAATTTATTTAAAAAATATATTTTCTTGAATTTTAATAGTAGGTAGTAATTGACAAGTACGGAACACGAAAGACCATTCTCAGCTATATGACAACACCGACTGGAGACGATAAAACAGAATGAAGTATATTGAGCGCGGATGTAGCTTTCGATCGCGAGGAGAAGGTACGTTAGGGAAGGCAACATCGGTTTGTCAAAAATTTCTCGTTGACGCTAATTCGGCGTATCGGCCGGCACACACCCGGAGGGTTATAAGGGAGATTTACGAGCGTGCGCGAGATCGACGAAAAGGGGGCTCACGGTCGATTGACTTTCGAAAATGGGCCTGGCGCGAGAATCGCGAGCCATTTCTCGCGTATATATCTACGCGCGCCCGTCGTGAATGGGCCCTTCCACGTTCGAAAGAGAATCTATTTCACACGTGCGCACATGCACACGCACACACACGCGCGTATATGTAAACATACGTATAACCCATTATAGTTAACAAACGCGTTTTTTAGTAAGAGAGAGTAGCCACTTGTTCCGCTGCTCTATTAGATCCGCGTAAAACGGACGTAAGGAACACGGAAGCGGTGAAAGCAGTGAAATTCTCGCTCAGTTGGGAGGAATCCGCCGATAATGCCACGCGGGGCTCGCAAATCGGCGGGTAAAAAGCAGAGCAGTGAATTAAAGAAACAAATGGAGTCTGAAAAGGAGGGCGAGCGCCGCGCCGCGTCGGCCAAGGGGGTGGCGAGGGAACGCGAGCAAATTGTTAAACGCGCTTCTCGAATGCCGGCTCTTAACGAGCGATAATAACTCGCGCAAATAACTGGCGCGTCTTTAGAGGGCTAGTTTCTGCTTTCTCTCCCCTCCCCCACCCCCTCCCCAACTCTCTCGCGTCGTCCGCCTGGCCATTGTGTGCGCGAGCACGAGGAACACCGGGGAATTACAGTTAGCTTGCTCGTCGTCTCGCCGCGAATTCTGAAGGGGTGTGCGTGTGTGCTCGTCCGTATTAGAGCCGGTACAACGGCAGGGGCGCGCGATACTTACACCTTTAGGCAACGGGTATTAACCGCGCGCGCGACCAAGGGGTGCACTCGAGTGGGCATTCGGAACCCAGAGGACGTGTTTTGATATTGTAACGTTTGTATTAAATATCAAGTCGGAAGGGTGCCGCGCCTGCCTGCGCCTCGGCGCCGTTTATTAGGACTTCATTAGCCGTCCCTTGATCCCTTCTCGCTTTCTGGCCCCAGCACCCTTTTCCGTGATGCATCATCGATCGCGCGTGGAATTTTTCCGGACCGTTTTCCATAGATCTCCGAAGGGACGTTGTTATTAGATCGTACATGTCTAGTATTAATTTTACTAAAATATTTCTCGCTATCAACGCATAAACATTATTAAAAACCGCAGTGCGCGGAAGAGATATGAAAATGCTCATACATTACGAAATAATACGTGATAATTTTCATAAGCCACTTTTTCCCTCGGCGCTTTTAAAATATCAAATTAGATTTTTACATAAAAAAGTACGTAGAAGAATTGCGGCAACAGATCGTTGTTAAAGTGTTTTTCCATCCATTATACATTTGTGAAAAAAAAGCGACGTTAGCCCTAGTACATGTCTATATAACAATTAGGCAGAAATAGATGGCAACCGAAATTGTGTATCGTACTATCTTATCTTAATTGGTGTATGTACGTATGGAAACTATGATGATGATGAAGATCAAGGACGCGTTCGTTCTGTGCTAATAAATTCAACGCCAGTGAGTCTCTACCAACTCATTATAATGTACAATACGCAGGTGTTTTTTTTGTTGAAAAGATAGCCTTTTATGCTTACACAATGACGCGTAGCAGTATAATTTTTGTAGTACTCGCACGTTTTACGTTTGCTTTATGCTGTGTACGAAAAGAAGAAGTACAATTTTCTAACATTGTTAGAAAATCTAATCGCGAGTGGTCAGTGAGCTTCGCTAATCGAAGATCGATGAGCGAAGTGTTTTCAAACGCGCACAGATAGTTTGGTACTTTTGGCAGGGCGCGTAGCCGCGAAAAAATGGGGAAGCTCGTTTACAAACGGGCAACAGAGCCTCGCTGACGCGACGGCTCAGACAGCACATTCATCATCCGTCCGACTTCTTCCACCCCGTCCGACTTATATAGCCGGCCTCTCCTTTCCCTTCTTGTTCTCCATCGGGGTGGTCCTCCTCTCGGCATCGTGACGTAATCAATTACGACGAGCACCGGCTCGCCGGAGGTTGCCGGCCTCTTCCACGCGAGACTTGCTCCGTCCTGATTTCTCATAATAGAATAAAGTATTCGCTATTCTATTTTGATTTGTCCTGACTCACTCAAATGGTTCATTACTTTATCACTTCTCTTTTTTACATCTTGTACCAGCGTGATCTTCACTTTACCTATCTTCACATACCATCTCAAAAATAATCTAACATATCTTTTTTCTGTTATAAATTTCTAAGGAAATGTTCATATAAAAGTTCCATATTATAAAGTAAATTATACTTTTCATACTACTAAGCTTTTCTTAATAAATAAATCACTATACACTGTTATATTTATGGTGTCAAATTATACTCAATTCGAATCATTTTTTATCCTATAGGTCGCCACTGCTCCTACTCGATATGTTATGTCGTTAATTTAACTAAACCCATGAAGGTAAAATAATACTGTTTTGGTTAAAATAATTAAATTTTGACACACATGATAGTTAAAAATAACAAAATGTTATTTCACTCAAAATATTGATTTAAATTTTATTCTGTAATATTTAATAGTTTAAGTTATTTAAATTCACATAATTTTATTATGTTATTAATACTAAAGAAAGTGTAAAAAATATGTTTAATAACCCGAAAGTAAAAAATTCATCTTTCTATCGTGCATAAAAGTACGTGTTCAATATAGAATTTTTCGAGTAGATCGAATAAGCTCAATATAAAGGAGTTTTGAGACTTAAACCGCAATAGTTTTAAAGTCAAATTTGGAACGTTTCCCATCCATTTAACGCAACGATTTGTGTATCAATGACACGGATCGATCGAATTTGGTTCGACGTGGAAACACCATTCGCCGGTCCGCGAGTTCCTCCATCGTAGCCATTGTCGCGGGTCATTGTGCATCATTGTATCAAGTTCCGCAGAAGTTGGAGCGGAGTTGAGAACAAGCGGCAGTCTATCGGTGCGGTCGGTATAGTGCCCTTCAAAGTGCGACGGCAAACGCTTACGGGCGGCAGTTAAAATCGGTTCAACCTAGGAGCGCTGTTGGTGGTGCCCGCGCGCCAAGGCGTCTCAATCATCTCCGCAGAGATGCACTTCCGGGGGATGAATGAACGGTGGGGAGGGGAGGAAGCGCGGAACACCCTTCGAATCGTTTCAGGCTCCTCAACTTTGAGGAGAAAGGTGTCGAGGGATGGCCACTCGAGCTCGAGTGTTTCGCGCTCGGCATGATGTTTCGCCACCATCGAGAGTGATCGCTCAAGAGGATGAAGAAACGGAATATCTACTCGATCACGTCCAAGTGTCATTTTACGCCAATTCAGAGACTACTTACGCAGATTGTCACAGACTAACCCTCGGACTGCAGACCCAATTTTCGCTTATAATAAGATTGAATCAATGTCAGAATGTTAGAAAGAGCTTTGTTGCAATTTCTATAATCACTGTTCTGACTGTTCAATGATTTATTAAAATCTTTTTACATTTTTCTCTAAAATCAATATTTTGTACCT